TCCCAGCTTTCATTTTCCCCCCGTCAAAAAGGGGTTCCAATCTTTTGTGTAATCCTGGAATGGTATAAAAGTATTAGAGCTCAGCTGCCTGAAAAACTGAGACTACATAAGTATGTTCAAATGACCTGGGAGAATTGTCTTTGGTTTGTTCTCCTGGTATAAAAACTTACCTGGAAATACCTGAACAGACATTCCAATGATCAGCCCCTGCAGAGCAGAGAGCTTGCAGTGCCTATGTAGCCAGAGGGCCCCTGTGCAAACATCTCAGCATGCTCTGCAGCAGGCTTGGCTGGTGATCTCAGACTGGTGGTGTAGTAGAGCATCCCATGGAGTGGTGGGGTGGGTTTTGCAGCTGGCCGGGTGGGGGGGAGGTTTGCAGATGACCAGGCACTCAAGCTGGTAGTGGGGAGGCTGCAAACACCCTTGCTGCTGGCCAGCTGCAAAGCCCCCCACTGCTTCCATAGGACTCTTCACCACCCAGTCAGTCTGAGTTCACCAGCCATGCAGGTTCCCTCACTCTGCCTGGCAATAAAAGGCAACAATACACAGAGTAGTCCTGATTGGCTGACCCAGACTGCTCAGAATTAGCCTTTGTCACCCCACAGTACAATGTGGAATTGTGAAAGGGTCATGTTCTGCTCCCTGCTTGGCTGGAGCAGTAGACTCCAGCCCACGTGACACATTGTCTCCTGGGATGTAGGGAGGAGACAGAAGAAAACACTTTGGGATGCCAGAAGACTGTATTATGGCTTCTTGCAGGACAGTAAGTTGTACAGGCATTTGCTCTGCAAAATAAACTCTCCCAGCAGTAATTTAACCCTGGTTATTCCCAGGTTATTTTTCTCCTGGACCAGCCATTTCTGCTTTGGGAGAAAAACGCTGACCATCTGTACACTTGTGCTTTCTATTGGGAGAAAAGTGAATCTCCCATGAGAAACCAAATATCTGTATGCAGCCTGAGTCAACAAAATAGCACCGCAATACAAGGTAGTGTAACTGCTCAATAAAACTGCTGCCAACTCCTACTTGGACATTCATTTGTTTTCAGCTTTTTAAATCTCAAAGCACCCCACATAAAATGCCAACTATTAAGAATCCACAAGTTTTATGACTACAGAAAATAATAGAGCAATTCTTCTGTTGCAAAAAACTGAGAAGGGGTGAAACAGAGCAAAATGTCTATGATACTTTGAATTTTGTTTTTAAATCTCTAGGTTTATCTTGTGAATCATATTTACACAGCTAAGAGTGCTAACATTGTGTGGCAACCAACAGCTTCCTTGAAAGGATCTCAGGATGCTCCATGGTGTCCTGGCACCCTGGTTGAGAATCACTGCTCCAGCTAATTAAACCCAGTTTAAACCAAAATAAGCATCCACAAAGAAGGGTTTTATTGGTTTAATCTGTTCCATTTAAAATCATGATTTTATTTAAACAAGTGAAACTTTCTTGTCTAGGCATAGCCTAAGTTTAAGCATTTGATATAAGAGCAAGTTAGAAACATTAAAAGAGCTCCCACTCTAATTCTTATATCTAAGTTAGCAACACTTTTTTTAAGGAGGCCTGCTTCCACTCACTTGCTTTTTGTCTCTTATTCATGTGCACATGCTAACTATTAAAGAGGGTATTTAAAAATAAATTAAAACAATATGAGAATATTAAGTTAAACCTGACTGTAACAGGGAATCCTGGCCCTTTAAGGGCAGAGTCTTTGTAGCCCAGGCAGCCAGCAGATCAGGGGTTAAGGGACAGCCCTGTAGTCAGGTCAGCTGACAGGGGCACTCCATAACCAAAAGAGGTCTCAGGCCCAAGCTATATAAGCCCTGAGTTTGGGCCAATGAAGAAGGCCAGCCCTGAGAGTCACAGAGTGCAGCAGCACAGCAGGGCCCCTGATTCTACAGTGGGACTGGAAGGAAACACTTCTGCAGGCCTGAGAGCAAGGAAGAGTTACCTGGGTGCAGAGGGAGAGACTCATTATGCAGACAAGTGGCGATTATTTTATGTTAAGCCTGGCAAGGTTTGGGTGCCTAGCAGAAGGCTGAAGTGTTTTGATTTTAAATTACACCAGTAGCCTGGGTGTAGGACTACAGGGGTGGTTTGGAGGTCCCATTAGTGCCCTAGGGGCACATGATTGCCTTGAGTCCTGCAGGCTCAAGGCAGAGCAGGTGCAGAGCCCAGAGCAAGGCAGAGTGTGGGGCTGCAGAGCCCAGAGCCTGGAACGAGGCAGGGTGTAGGGCCACAGAACCCAGAGCAGGGAATAGAAGGGGGCAGTCCAACATCCAAGAGGGCAAAACCAGGGCTGGGACACAGAGGCCAGGTCTAGAACAGAGATTGGGCCTTGAGTATGAGACCAGCCAGAGTATCAGGGCAGAAACCAGGAAGGCTAAAGCCACTGGGAAGGAAGACCTGTTGTGGCCTTGAAATGTAGGGACAACTGTCCCACCCAGTTGATGACTTAAAACACCTGCAAGGCATGGGGTGTGGTTTAGTGATGGAATGGAGTCATGCAATTAGCCCATAAGGCATTGATCCCCAACACCTGGGGATCATTAGTGTAAGATCAGGGTAGCCTCCCGTACTTTAATAACAATTTACATCAAGACATGGCAGTTGAAAGAAGGGTGGCCTGCCCCAAAAGCATGGTGCAAGGAATTTTCTTGGCCTCCAGGGGCTTCATGGCCATCCCTGAAGATGGTGCCCTGACAAATTTTGTTCTTGTTTCATAGATTAGATTTAGATTTAGATAGATTTCATAGATAGATTTCATAGATTTAGGGTTGGAAGGGACCTAGTAGATCCTCTAGCCCGACCCCCCGCCAGGGCGGGAGAACAACAAAACCCCAAAACAAAAACGGGACTCAAATGAGTCCAGCCAGGTAGGCATCCAGCCTC